ATGTACAGCAGATATTGTAAAGTGGGAGAATATTATTCTTTCTTTTTTTTTTTTTTTTTTTTTTGCATTCTTTCTCAAGAGGGAAGAGAAACTGGGATGGGGGAAAGGAGAAAAAGAAGGAAGGGAAAAGCAAATATACACACAAACACACACACATAAACACACACAATACAACTAATTTCTCTTAGTTCGGTGAAAAGAAAGTTTGTTGTACTAATACTATCTGGACAATGAAATACCTTTATGTTGTACTCTCAGTACCTAATTTAATGATAATAAAATGCAATGAATTAACCATTGTTATTCTCTTATTACTTTGTTTTGAAATTTTAGGGATCTTTTTAAACAGACAAAAAAAGTTCCTGTTTCTCCCTCAGGAACCTTAAAGAAAAACGAGGCAATTCTCCTAATGGAGGGAGAATGAAAAGACGAGGTACTGAGACAGCAGGGGTGGCACTCAGGGCCCAGGGTCCCACAAGACGCTCCTGTGCACAGCAGGAAGCCAGAGCCCCGGGCCGGGCGATGCCCAGAAGTGTTAACAAGCAGGTGGACCCAGACTGCAGGCAGCAAAAATGAGCCCAAGAGTGAGCTCTGTAGGTCTGGGAACAAATCAACATGGAAAATGAGCAAAAGCAGGTATGAGTCTGTAACTAACTCTACAGGAGACAGACTTAACCCTTATCAAAATCATAATCCAAGTCATACCAAAAATCTGTATTAAAAAAAAAAAAATCAACCAATTGGACTTTGTTAAAGCTGAGTATTTTTGTTCTTCTAAAAACTCTCAGGGCTGGTGAGATGGCTCAGTGGTCTAAAGCACCTACTTGGAACAAACTTCACAAAGCACAGGGACCACGGTTTGATCCCCCAGCACCACATGCCAGCCAGCCCTGCCCCCTGGTGGGCTGAGCTGGCCACACACACACACACACACACACACACACACACATAAATAAATGTTAAAAAAAATAATAAAATAAAAACTCTCAGGCTGGGGACAGTGTGAACAAGTGGAAGAGCCTTACTAGCACATGCCAGGCTCTTGGTTCCAGCCCCAGCACCAAAAAGAAAAAAAAAAATCCTGCTACAAAATGAAAGGCTGAGCCAGGCATGGTGGCACACGCCTGTAATCCCAGAGCATGGGAAACTGAGATAGGAGGATAGCTGCGAGTTCCAGACCAGCCTGGGCTACAAAGTGAGCTCAAGGCCAGCTTGAATTGCATAGTGAGAACCTGTCTCAAAAAGACAAAAACAAACAAACAAAAATGAAAGGCTGATCAACTTGAGAGAAAATATTTGTAAAATACACATCTAGCGCAGGACTTGTGTCTGGATATCTTATACATAGAGAACTTCTAAGTCAAACTTCTAAGTTAGAAAGACAGAAACCCAAATGAAGAGGTAAAGATTTGAAGTGACAATTCATTAAAGACAACCAACTGGCAAATAAGCACATGAAAAGATGTCCCGCCACTATTTCATCAGGGAAATACAAATTTGGAAACACTACAACTAGAAATGCCCCAAAGGGCCCTGCACAGAGAGGAGCATCATCCACACGAGGCACGACTGTGAGACAGTGGAGGGGCCACCGAGGCACAGGCCTGGTGACTCCCAGGCGCAGGCCAGACGGACCAGACCAAAGAGAACACAGGGTAGCCTCATGAGGCCTCTCATGCCCAGGCTGGCAAATAGTCACAGAGAAGGCAGAGCAAAGGGCCGCCTTGGGCAGGGGCGAGTGCACCACCTCTGTCCTGGCCATAGGGGTCCATGTGTCAGAGCTCTTTGTGCCATACATGTGGATTGGTGCAGTTTCCTATGCTTCAGCCATGCCCCAAAAGGGGCAAAAACAAGTCACCACAATACACTGTATCTGAGCCATGACAAGGATCTGTCTTATCATATAAATGCTTTTTTTTTTTTTTTTTTTTTTGAGTTACGGTCTTTCTATGTAATTCAGGCTGGCCTTGAACCTACTATGTAGCCCAGGTTGGCCTGGAATTCTCAGCAATCCTCCTAACTCAGCCTCCCAAATTCTGGGAGTAAAGGCATGGGCCACACCACACCCAGCGAAACACTGGGCATTGATTTCAGCAGAAACTATGATCATTATACTGGGTGGGGCATGAGGACAACATAAAAAAGCTAAATCCAGCTGGGCGTGGTAGCCCATGCTGGTAATTCCAGTTTGAGGCTAGCCTGGGCTACCTAGTGAGTTCCAGGCTAGTTTTATCTACATAGTGAGACCCTGTCTCAGAAAGAAAGAAAGAAAAAGAAAAGTGAAGAGAAGAAAGAGAAAGACAGGCAGGCCAGCTTAATCCAAATCTTCCATCATAAGAAGTCATTAGATAACATCTAAAATTAAAAAGAAGAAATAGCATTAACCTGTCGTTCAGACACACAGGAGAAAATAGCACAGGAGCTGGAGGCAGCTGCCTCAGTGAAGCAGGGCGTGGGCAGGAGCGCGGCTGGCAGGAGAAGCAACTTATTTTTAAAGCAAATGCTTTAATAAAAATTCAACTTTCAATTATCTGACCCAGCAGTTTTACTCTCAGGCACTGGCCCAGATGAAAACATGCATTCACACAAATACATGTATGCACCCATGGTCATGGCTGACAAAAAGTGGAAGCGACCCAGATGTTCAGAGAAGGAACAGATGTCTGTCTACACACTGGACTATTACATGGCCAGAAACAGGAAGGAACTTCTGACACATACAAGAGGAACAGCAAACATGCGCTCTGATTCTGGTCTATGACATATTCAGGACAGGTTCACTTGATTACGTGGTTTGCAGTGATATTTTTGAGGCCTCGATTGTGTGGTACTCAGCCACTGACCACACTGGAGACCACAAAATGCCCAGTGCTGGGGGTGGGGAGGAGTGGGCTGCACAGTGTCACTCTGCCTTCCCAGCCACCACACCACTTTCACTCTCATCAGCCTGGCGCACCCTGGCAAGCACACGCAGTGGTTACACGAGCACTCAGCCCTACCACTTGTGCGTGCCTCTGAGGATATTCGTGACACTGTCATTAAGCAGACATTTAAGCCTTCTTGCTAAACTTCCATGCCTATTGTTTTTTTGTTTTTTTTTTGCAGAACCGGGGATTGAACTCAGGTCCTTGCACTTGCCCAGAAAGCGCTTATTCCACTGAAGCATCTCCCCAGCCCCAAAGCCCCAGTTCTGTTTTTTTTTTTTTTTGTTTTTTTTGGTGGAACTGGGGATTGAACTCAGGTCCTTGCACTTGCCCGGGAAGCGCTTTATTCCACTGAGCCATCTCCCCGGCCCCAAAGCCCCAGTTCTGTTTTTTTTTTTTTTTTTTTTTTTGGTGGAACTGGGGATTGAACTCAGGTTCTTGCGCTTGCCAGGGAAGCGTTTATTCCACTGAGCCATCTCCCCAGCCCCCGAGCCTATTGTTTTCTAAAATAGTAAATGAAAATATGAAAAAATAAAGGAAGTTGTGCTTCTTATACACTTTATTTTATTTTACGTATTCTACTGCGGCCCAGGGCAATTCCTCTTCACTCATGGTGGTTCTGGCAAGCAAGTGTCAGAACTGTGGGACAGTGTAGCTTCCTTCTGGGCCCAGAGCTGCCATCGACACGCATGCAGCCCACCGCCTGAGGACTCACCCTACGGCCTCCCGCTGGGCTGGGCTGCATCTGCCTCTGCCTCACCCTAGCCCTCCCCATGGCTGCATCCATCAACACAGCAACATCTCATGTGTTCTGGAGCCAGCGCAATCCCAAGACCCATGGGATATGCAGCAGGTTTCCCCGACCACGAAAGGGAGTGGAGCAGCAGAGTTGACTGCAAAGCCTGCCATCCAAAAGTGTGACGCCTGTCATGCAGAAGGTCATGAGAGGCACGGGGCAGGGTGCAGGTGAGGGGTGCGCACGGGCTCCATGGCTGAGATCCACTGCGTGTGCCAGGCAGAGGACACCGCAGATACCCAGTGCCCTACCTGCCAACCTGTGCCTCGCCTCAGGATCCAAAGTGAAACCGAACAGGGGACAGAGAGCGCTGGCCTGACGGCCTGTCACATCAACCTGCTTCTGCCTGAGTACCCGCCCCAACCTGCTGTCCTTGCTGGCCAGACACAGGGCCCACCTCATGGAATGGTGACTGCAGGGAGGCTCTGTGGGGCTAGGAGGCTGGATGCAGACAGCCTGCCCTCCGTGCTCAAGGGCTAGAAGACTCCAAATGGTTTTCCGCTAGTTTGGGTCTCACTTTTCAGTCAGTCAGTCTGTGGCCACAGCTCCCCCAAGCAGTGTTGAGGACACAGATCAGGCCCACCCCACAGCCACAGCATCCCTGTGAGGGAGGGAGACCCCAGCTGCCTTGGTGGCACTGATATCCTGGCCAGGACCATGAAAATGTGGGCCCCCTCAAAGCCCAGCTTGAGATGACACTGCAGGCAGCCACATTCTGTGTGCCCTGATTACACTAGCACTATACGCTTCTCACAGAACTTTTCTAAAACACAGAAAAAACATGAAGAAAATAATGTACCCAGAAATTCCACTGCTGACACATTTCCATTTACTAGTACATGGGCACACAAGACACACTTAAGCAAAGCTGGTCAAGGCCACTTATGGGCCTGCATCCTTTCTACCCATCTTCACACCAGCAGGGTCAGTCGACACCAGCAGCTGAGTCTCACTTTCCACATATGGCCCCCAGGTTGGCCATTCGGGTTGGCCTCCGATACCTTTAAGAGCAGCTCTGCCCACATCTTTTCACCCTGTGCCATGCTCCTATAGGAGATGGGCTCACCAGGGCGAGTGCCAGACAGCACCTGAGCCTGCCTGGGGCTCCCCACTTTCAGTACGGGGTGCTCCTCACCAACTCTGAGGATGTATGTCATTTTACATTTTCTTGTTTGACAGGTAAATTCTAATCCCAAATTGAAGAAGGGTCAGAAATGAACAAGACCCCACAGCCACGTGGTAGGTGGAACCCTGGGACTCTGCAGAATCTGTGGCCTTACCGAGTTCCTTAGAGCCCTGGCTCTCGCTGGCCAGCTCCCCCATCTTCACCAGGGCATCGAAGTAGCCTTTGGCAGCGAAGGTCACACCTGAGAGAGGGGAGGAGAGGGGAGGAGAGGCGAGGAGAGGAGAGGCGAGGAGAGGGAGGTTAATTCCTTCACAAGGCCCAGACAAGACCCACAGCAAAACACACAACCTCAGCTCTGGCTGACTCCCTCTGCCTACTTGGACAGAAGCAAAGAATACGCCATGCCTTGATTTCTGGGCTGGAGCTCAACCTACCACTTGTTGATTTATGTGGGGTGGGGGGAGAGACAGGGTCTCGCTATGTAACCCAGTCTGGCTTTGAACTCAAAGCAATCTTCCTGCCTCTATTTCCCCAGCGCTGAGATTACTGGTGTTCACTTCCACGCCTGGCCTCTTGTTGACAGTCTTACTTCACTCCAATCCTTTTATTTGTAAGAACACTGTGTACCGTGCAGGTCTGGAACTATTCAAGTCACCTGCAGAGTGCTGCACCCTGTCACGTGCTGTGCTGTGCTGTGCTGTGCTGTGCTGTGCGGGGGAGGGGGCTCGGCTTCAAGTGCACTGGTGGAGCCAAGGAGCTGATGGGGCAGGCACAGCAGGCAGGAAGGTAGGAGGCCGCTGCCACCCAAGGATCCCGAACCAACTCAGAGGCACAGCCGCTTTTCCCTGCCCCCCAGTCTAAGATCAGGACCTCATGGGGGTACATGCCATTGCTGAAGGCAGGCTGAAGGGCCAGGGTAGGCTAGGAGGATCACAAATGTGAGTCCAGCCCGAGCAAGTTGGTGGGACTGTCTTAAAGGAAAATGAAAAGCCCTGGGGTGTAGCTCAGTGGTAGAGTACTTGCCTAGCTTGTGGGAGACCGTGAGTTCAACCTTTATTACCCAAACCAACCAACCAAGCCCCAAAGCCCCATAAGGCTAAAGGCAGCACCTGGTGTTGCTACACCTCAGAGGTAACCCTGGCCTGACCAGGAGAGGAGGAGGAGAGCTGATCACACCCCCACTCCAGCCCTGGCCTAGCTGGGTTCCCAAAGGAGCTGGCACATCTTGGCTTCCACCCAGGTAGCCCGGGGCCTTCTTGAGCTCTCAGGGTGCCTGGCAAGCTCCAGCACCTGAGAATAGGCCCCACCTATCCTGCCCTGCTGGGGCTGCTGGGAAGGCTGAGACAACAGTCCTGAAGGGGGCCAAGGAGCCGTCACCAGTGGCATAATTACAATTTCTAATCCGTTTTCTGCAGAACCCACTCAGGGGCTTGTAACTGGGCACTTGATCAAATTTTATTTATACAGTTTTCAATTAAGTGCACATAATTTGCTTTGTGGCACAAGACTCTGTCCACAGGGGGTGGGGAGGGGGGGTGGGGAGGTGGGGGCCGGCTTCTTAAAATAAACCAAAGGAAATTGAGGCAGCAAGAGGCTGGGTGCGGCCAAAGAAGTGTGGGGGCACAGACTGAGCATGTCCCGCAAAACAATCAAGGAAAACAGGAAGAGGAAGTCACCTCCAGATTGTGCACACAGCCAGGATAACTTTGGGAGGAACCCAAGGGGGAGGCCGCATGGCCTGCCCGGAAGGAAACCAGGGCCTAGCATCAAAGAGGAGGCGCCGCAGCCCTGGCCTCCAGCTCAGCCATGGGAGAGGGCGTCCTGGCCACTCCCTGCCTCAGGACACCTGAGAAGGGAATTCCCCGGCCCAAGGGAGACCCATAGGAGGTAGGGAGAGTTCTCCACGGCTTAGGTCACCTAGGGCCCCTCACACAGCATGGCTTTGGGAAAGGGCGCAGTCCCTAAAACTTGCACAGCTTGCTCCCCGCCCCCATCCTGTGCCTTCTGACTCTCGCAGTCACGGTACACAAAGGCACATGGGCTAGAAACCAAGAAGCTGGTGATTCTCAGAGTGGAAACCAGCCTCACTTGGATCATCTGACTGCTGTGTGTGCAGTCCTGACACGGGAACTCTCCACCCGGCCCTACACTGCCTCCCCTTCCCATCGCCTCAAAAGTCTCTTCTTGGGGCAGCATTCAGACACTGGCCAAGTCCACTCTCACGAGGACAGGCCAGGGCCACCGCAAGCAAACACCATACTGTAGCAGAGGAATGAACCAGACTCAGCTTCAGCCAGGGCACAGAATCAGCCGTGCTTACCACCAAGCCCAGAGCTCCTCCCTGCCACAGCCTGGGACTGGTGGTGTCATGGAGGCCTGTGGACTGGTCCTCTATTTGAGGGGGGCATCTTCTTAAGAGAGTTCTGAAGAACAGAACCCACCGTTTAAGCAAGGGGTCTCCTGACTCTGACACACAGGTCCCTGAGGCTGTTACCTGGTTCAAGGCTGTAGAAGGGTGAGGTGGGTACAAATGAGGCCATCCCATCTCTGACACACACTAGCTGCAAATCACTATGTACCCTAAACAGAGAGCAGTAACAGGGAACCCTTGAACTGTTCACACCCACAGGGGCCACCCCAAAGGCTGCCGCTGGTCAGTGTTACGGGCTCCAGCAGGCTGAGGATGGCGGGATGCTGCAGGGCGAAGCTCCTCCCTGGCATGGCCTCAGTAACCTCTCAGTCTGTGTAAGACACCCCCCTTACAAGGGCTCACCCCTGCCCATAGTAGTCCTTTAGAAGAAAAGAGCAGAGTGCCAGAGGGGACCTGGGCTGTAGGACAGAGTGCTCTCCAACAGCAGAAAGGTGTCCCTGTACTGTATATGGGGTAGGCATGACAGCAGTGGACAAGGAGGCTTTGGGCAGAGACAGCCTCATTCTGCTGGTACGTGGTCAGGTTGCTTTGTTCCAGGTGATAAGGGGTGAAGGTGCCAGGAACAGAAAGAGAACCGAGTCCTCTCCTTTCCCAACAGTGGGCCACAGCCTCAGCCCACTCCAGAGGTGGCAGAGATGGGGTTGCCTATCTGGAGATACACACGACCTTCCAGCTGAGGAGCAGGGTGTCGTTGATAAAGATGCCACAGCTACTGGACAGCTGCAGTCAAGGGTACAAGAACCGGGTCAGGCCAGGAACAGCTGGTTTCCAAACAGCATATGACTTGGCCCTACCCAGGCCATTGCTGGCCCAGGATCCTGCCCCACCACCCCAGCCATGCACACCTCAGTCCTGGTCCTGGACCAGGAGCTGTACAGAGTCCACTCGGCAAGGACCGGTCCCAGACATACTGATGCTACCAAGCCTAAGACATCATGTATGTAAGAACCCTCAATTTCCAGGCAATTTTGAAGGGCAGACAACCACACCCATCTTTAGGTACCCTGCTTGTCACTACAGCCCTAAAACAAGACCCACAGGTGAGGACATGTGGTCACTCTGATGGCATGCACACCCTCAGGGATCTAGTTAGGTTTTGCTTCTGGGGGATTAGCCCCATGGCTTTGGCCCAGGCCCCAGAGGCTGAGCTGGAGTTCATCTGCCCAGGGCGCCAGCACTACCTGCCAGAGCTTTCTCGTAGTTCTTCCCCATGGCGATGAAGTTGCGAAGGCTGGGGTTGAACTGCTCCATGATGGTCTGGAAGAAAGGAGAGAGAGAGAGAGAGAGAGAGAGAGAGAGAGAGAGAGAGAGAGAGTTATCATTGTGTCCACCCCAGGACTCTGGAAGAGCCTCGTAGGGAGCAAATTTAGGCTAGACATCACCCGAGTCTCCAAGTTCAAATGCCAGCTCTGCCCCCTGCCAAAAGTCCTTGGCCAGGTGACAGGGCTCCAGTTCATGTCGGCACCCTGGGCTTGGAGACAGGCACAGACCTCGCTGCAGAGGGTCTGCAGAGTGAGGCGGGAGCCCTCCCCGGGCCAGGCTGCACGCAGCCAGCACCGACACGTGGCTGCAGAGGCACCATTACCCGGCTGGCAGGGCTGAGTCAGCCCAGAAGGCCGCCTGCTGGCTACATACAAATGCTCAGTGACGCCCCCCACGCTAAAACCCTAACTCAACACATCAATTACAAACATCAGCTCTGATTAGAGCGAGCCACAGCCTGGTTTGCAAATACCACACTATGAATAATCCAACAGGCTCTGGGATCTGTTCGCCTGACGGACTGCAGTTTCCCTGCCAATATCGGCAGTTCTTAGACTCAAGAAATTAGATTTTCACGGCGAAGGCCAAATAAATGTTTTAATTACACAGCGTAAAAACAGGCACACACAAACAGCAGCCATATGAGAATTCTACCGGCATAATACGCACGACTGTCAACAGCTAACCCCAGCCAGGGAGGACCCGGGGAGGGACCTTTGAAAGAGAACTCTGTCTCGGCCACATCCTAAGTCACACTGTGAGCCTGAGCCTTCCTGAGGACAACAGGAAGGGGAGTCAGCTGATGCTGCAGGCATGCAGGAGGCTGTACAGCCCTGCCCCAGCCCCAAACTGCTGGCCTAACAAGGAAACCCTGTCCCAGCCTATGTTCTAGGCTGCAGGACAAGCACAGCAGATGAGGATACTGTAGGTCACCAGCCTGCGCCCCAGTATAGGACCCAGCTCCATGAAATCTGCCACCTGTCACGTGCTCGAGGCAGTCATCCTGAGGTACAGCAGGGTGTTCACAATGGGAGGCTCCAAGACCTATGTTCTTGCCAGATGAGGGCTCTAACTGAGATGCCAAGGTCTGGTATGTGGGGCTGGACTCACTGACCCTTGGCTGCCACACCAGGGTGCACACAGGCTGGACATTGTGGACAGTAACAAGATGGGCCAAATCCCCAGTCAGGTAGTGCCGACTTCCTGGACACAGCAGCAGCATGGCAACCTATCCAGCCAGGGTCCTGCAGTGCTAAGGAAAGACATCAGGTGGGGAGTGAGGGCTGGCTGCAAGGTGGACAGCATGGAGAGAAGTGGTCCTCATCATTACCAGGGATGATGGCTGGCAGGCCAAAGCGGTGCAAAGGCCCTGGCCCAGGACCATGCTGTGGTGGGAGGGGTGACAGGAGGCAAGAACAGGGGGACTGAGTGTGGCGATTGCCTCCAGGCAGGACAGGAAGGGTATGAGCAGAACAATGCAGGCCACATTTAAAATTTCGGGGCTAGGATAATACACAGTGTCTGTACAATGAATGTATTCCTTTCATATCACAAACATACACTAATAAGAATAATAAAATGTTTCTCCAGCTGCTGAGATTTTAGTCATGGCCCAGGTGGACTGTGGGAAAACCCCAAGAGGTTGCTCAGTCCTCTAAACGTAAGGAAGGCAGCTCCAGCCAGGCCTGGATTCCTCCGGCTCTGCAAACCAAGCTGCAAGACACGAGGGGGAGGAGGGACTCACAGGTCTCTGGTCTGGGGACAGGACACTGAGGAGGAGCAGGCTGCACACAGGTCTGGGAGCCGGGGCTGGACAAGTAAAATCCAAGCCTAGGATTGGGCTCTAATTCTGATTACCGGATGAAGGCTCTCTAACTCTGAGCTGCCAAGGACTGGTATGTGGGGCTGGACTCACTGACCTTTGGCTGCCACACCAGGGTGCACACAGGCTGGACACTGGGGCAGGGATGTGACATGCACAGCGAGATGAGCCCACGCTGGCATCCAGGAGAAGCCTGGGCCAAGACTGAGCCAAGGAGTCCAGGAGTGGCAGCAAGGCTAGGCAGAGAGGCAGGTGGGGAGGGTGGGTAGGACTGTTGTAACGAAATAGAACAGAAGTGGGGTGCAGACCCAGCAAGGGCAAGTGTGACTGAGTCTGGTGTTCTAGTATGTGTGCTGATATGCCTATGTACGTGTGCAAACAGGTGTACGCACGTGTGCTCATGGATGTGCAAGTGTTTGCACATTTGTGGGTGTGTCTGATCGAGTAGGCGTTTGTGTGTGTTCACCTGTACACTCTGTACATCTGTGTGTATGCTGCGGGCAGAGTTGCATCAGATGTGTTTCTCACGGTAGGTAACTGACACTGGTCTGACAACATGGCCCCAGAGAAGGTGCTGCTTCCAAGTGGACCTCTGTTCTCTAGACTCCAAGGAGCTTGGATGCAGGCCCACAGGCCCACCTCGGACCAGTCCTAACAGCTCTGTTAATATCCTGAGTGACAGGAGAGAATGTCAGAAACTCGCTAGGGCCAAGCAAGGTGGGTCATGAAGGTCCCTGCCATACCCTTAGCATGACACACAGAGACAGTCATGAGGTTTTGCTTCCTCAGTGTCACAGCTGAGCTCACACCCAACGAATGTGGGAGCAAGAAGACAAAGCCGTGTGGGTGCTGAAGTGCCAGACAGGCCACCTGGGCATAGCTACCACTTCCATCTGGCCTGAGTGGCCAGCCGACCAAGACACACAGGTGCTGCTGTCTCAGAGAGGAGGTGGTGGCAGAGGTGTGGAAGCCGCTGAACTGATGCCTTGGAGGTGGTCTCTTGCTGGGGAGGAGGGCCAGCTCATCTTCCTGGCTCAGTGGACCTTTCCTGGCTTTGGAAAAAAAAAGTAGCCTTCTGGAAGGCCAGCCCTGGTACCCTGGTGAATGTCACAAACCCTCCCCCAGATCAATCCATCTCCCAGCAACCATGATGGCTCTACTAAGGGATCTATTTCTGTTAGGGAGGGGTCGGGTCGTGGTGAGCCCACAAGTCTACCCATCATTCTGAGGCTCACCCAGTGGGTCATGCCGTCCCTGTAAGAAAACCAAGATAGCCCCAAATCTACTTGCTGAGGGCCTGGATGGAGGCTTCTACATCTCCCCCAACACCCCCTTGAGCGTGGGCTCATTCCAGGCCTACCTTCCCTGGCCAGCTCCAGCCAGGCCAGTCCAGCCTCTGCGGGCACCTGTGCAGGGCAGGGGCTTCAGAATGTATCTGGCTCCCCAGGAAGGGCCAGAGAAGCCCTTGGCAGTGGTCACAGCTTCTGCCTCAGGTACCTCCTTGTCCCCCAGGGAAGAATGCGAACACCACCCATCCATCCCTGGTGGCCATGCTTTCCCAGGCCAAGAAACAAAAGTATATTTCTGCAGGAATCTGCCAGGAGGGAACTGAACTAACACCTAGAGGGTAAGTGTTTTCTTTTAAAGGGGAAAGGAACATCTGCTCTTAACAACCCCAGCGGGGAGCCAAAGTAAAATGCTGGGGGAGGGGGCAGGTAGAAAATTCTGACCTGGAGGAAATAGTTTGACTAGGCTAAGAAGCCTCTCAGTGCACACAGGCCAGAGGCCAGCTATCCACAAGGAGGGCTACCTGAGCCCAAGGTGCCATCCTCAAGCCCACAGTGAAACTTGGGGGGGCTCCAGGGGAGGGCTCTCCAGGGCCCAGGCACCCCAACCATGTCACCCTGCTGGGACACAACCCTATTGGATGAGCAAGGACCACACTGGCTCCCAATTCTGATGATACCTGTGTGGTACAAGGAACACCCCCACCCGCTCAAATCCTGCTGCTGCACACAGTGACTGTGACTTGTTCCTTAGTAGCTTTCAGGACTGAAAACTATTTTTAGCACATGCATTTTTCTACTTATTCACTTGTTCGTACAATATTTATTAGCGAACACCTCTGCATGCCAGGTGATGTGCTAGGGGCTATGGACATGACACAGGGACTTCATCCCCACAGAACACCTGCCAAAAAGGTCTATGGGAGGAAGTGGGCCCTGACCAGGGTTGCTCACAGTTCAAGCAGTTGACAGTTACCCTCCATGCAGGACCCTAACAAAGCAGCACACCCTATACCCGTGGAGCCATGAGAACCCCAGGCCCAATGGTGTAGTTGTGGCAGGGACCTGTGGGGCTGGTTGTGTCTTTCTGTAGGAGGGAATGGAGAGGCTGAGGCTACCAGTACTAGTGGCTGTCACCAGCAAGCTGTTGAGAAGCCCCTTCTGCATGGCTACTCCAGGACACTCCTGGCTGATGGTCAGCTAGGCTAGTAGGACAAAGGGCAGCAGAACAGCTATCCACACCCCACCCCCTGCTAGAGAGAGCAGGGAAGAAGCCAAGTACTTAGAGGAAAAAGAAAAAAAAAAAAAAGTCTACCAAGGATCATTACTCCTCCTGCTTCTGCACACTGCCAGCTCAGGATCCTGTCCACTCCTCAGCCCTGGCTCCTGCCAGGCCCCTCTTAGCAAAGGATGGGCTGAGTGTGTCTGGCCACGTCCCTGTACATGTATGTGTTTGCAAGGGCACACACATGTGCCACTTGCACGTGCAGCAGGCTAGGCCAAACTTGCTCTCTGTCCTTACAACACTCAGAGAGGATCACGGGCGTCTTCCTGAGTGCCTCAGGCTCCAAGTACCTTGATCTGTCTTACTGAGGGGCGGGGGGGGGGGGGGGGCTCAGGGCCTGCCACTACCTGGTGGAGTTGAGTCCTGCCTTCAGCTCCAGGCTAACCGAACGACCAAGCTCAAGCTCCCTCCACACTGCCTACTGCCATCCCTCAAGAAGCAACACTCCAGCGCTGTCAAAAGACTGAGGCCACCTACTCCACTCCGAGCCTCTTCCGGAGGGCCATGGTTCAGGACAGCTCCTTCACCAGGGAGGGCCTGTGTGTGTCCCACTTGCTTCCAGACAACACTACCTACTGCTGGCTTCCTGGGGCCCAGTGCT